ATAGTATTTAACCACTTAAATATATCTTATAAAAAATTGTTCAAAAGGATTAATAATAAGTGATATATTTAATTCTGAATTTGTAAGACCCTTAAAAAGGTCAACACTGCGGGAGAAGAGGTAATGACGTCACGATACCGGCCACTCGGCGATCAAGTCGCGAGCAGTCGGAGAGATGTGTAAATATTTGCTATACTTTTACCTATATTATATACCTATATTTTTAAGTGCATAAATAGAGTGTATAAGAGATATATACATCAAGTCTTGTTGAAATGCATTTTTCACGCAACATATTTATTATAAACATAGAATTACTTGGAATACCTAAATACATTTTCGGATTTTCCCCAATGATGTAAATGGTTCGCTTTTCTACATTTTCTTTTGCATTCCATTTTTGTACAAATGTACCCAACGTACTAGACTCGATACTTGTGGATGTATGCGACGACGTGTATGAGCTAGTTGTACTTTGACTAGTATTTGAAGCAACTCGGAACCACCCTCGTTTTTCTTTGGTTGCCCGTCTAGGGGGTTGTAAAATATTATTTAAATAAATTGCTTATAGGTCCCTCTCGCCACGTGTTTCGAATTCTTTGTGGACGGGAACGTTAAGATGGGGTAGAAATTTTTTTCTTTTCGGCATAAATTTGAAAAATCTGCTCTAAATGTTTAAATAACAATATTTATAACCCCCTAGACGGGCAACCAAAGAAAAACGAGGGTGGTTCTGAGTTGCTTATAGGTCCCTCTCGCCGACGTATTTCGAAATTTTTGTGAACGGATACGTTTAGATGGGGTAGAAATTTTTTTTCGGCATAAATTTTAAAATTCTGCTCTAATTGTTCAAATAATAATATTTACAATCCCCTAGACGGGCAATCAGCGAAAAAACGAGAGTGGTTCTTAACTGCTTATAGGTCCCTCTCGCCGACGTATTTTGAATTTTTTGTGAACACGAACATTTAGATGGGGTAGAATTTTTTTTCCGGCATAAAGTTGAAAATTGTGTAATACTAACATGATTGTGTATACTGGAGAACTTGGGCCTTCGTAACAACTATGAAGCAGAACTACCAGAAGATAATTTGAATATCCAGAATATTAATTTTAATAGAGGCAATGCTACTCGCAACAGATTAATTAATCAAATTTTTAATCAGAAATGTTTATTCTTTTTCTAAATAAAACATTTCTTATTGCAATGGCAGCTCGTGACATTGAGAATACGTGAAGCATATTCATTGATTGACTAAAAAGAAAAAAAAGCGCCACTGGCGAAAATTTTCATTTCATTTTCAATATAGAATTATACCTAAATTATAAAATTTATATAAAATTATAGGTGAAGCGATGCGTCACTCGCATCATCTGGCGTTACAGTTATATGTAGATATTTTTTATTTTTCCCTTAAATAAAACGTAATTTAAAAAATACATTCTTATTATCAAAAAAAATAATCATAACCCATTCAAGATTAATAATCTTCAATTAATCTGATTTGTATTTTACAGAAACAAAATAAATATTTAATAAACTATGAAATTAAAAACATTGTATCCTCTGGAATTATTTTCAAGAAAGAATCATAGCTGCTGAGATTCATATAACTTTATTTCTTTTCTCTTTNTAACTTATTTCAAACAAAGTGTGGTCGCATCTGATATGTTACGAAAAGCACAAGAAGAAAAAGGTGTCACTTTAAAATTAATTCAATCAGTTCCAACAAGATAGAAGTCTGTTTATTACATGATTGATAGGTTTTTGCAACTTGTTGGGGTTCTTGCTCCCATATTGTTAGACTCAAGTCAAGCTCCCAATATGTTGGATGCGAATGAACTAGCAATTGCTAAGCAGATTGTACACATACTAAAACCAATTGAGGAAGTATCAAAAGAAATTGGAGGTGAAAAATATTTTACTGCAATTGGCACCCACGATTCTTTTATTTATAGAAATTCTGGGTTATATGAATTTTTACATTCAGAAAATTTACCACCAAATTCTTGGTTGTTGGGTGACCAACGGTATCCACTAAAACGTTGCCTGTTAACACCTGTCAATATTGCACATATAGTTGCAGAAGAACGGTCATAGAATGTAATAGAAGAACAAGAAACACTATTGACAGGACATTTGGAATGTTGAAAATGAAATTTCGATGTTTGCTAGTAGGGGGCAATTACTTTATATATCGGAAAAGATTATCAAAATTGTTACATGTTGTGTAATACTAACATAACATGTGTATACTGGAGAACTTGGACCATGGTAACAACTATGAAGCAGAACTACCAGAAGATAATTTGAATATCCAGAATATTAATTTTAATAGAGGCAATGCTACTCGTAACAGATTAATTAATCAAATTTTTAATCAGTAATGTTTATTCTTTTTCTAAATAAAACATTTCTTATTGCAATGGAAGCTCGTGACATTGAGAATACGTGAAGCATATTCATTGATTGACTAAAAAGAAAAAATAACCACAGGCGAAAATTTTCATTTCATTTTCGATATAGAATTATACCTAAATTATAAAATTTATATAAAATTATAGGTGAAGCGGTGCGTCACTTGCATCATCTGGCGTTACAGTTATATGTAGATATTTTTTATTTTTCCCTTAAATAAAACGTAATTTAAAAAATACATTCTTATTATCAAATAAAATAATCATAACGCATTCAAGATTAATAATCTTCAATTAATCTGATTTGTATTTTACAGAAACAAAATAAATATTTAATAAACTATGAAATTAAAAACATTGTATCCTCTGGAATTATTTTCAAGAAAGAATCATAGCTGCTGAGATTCATATAACTTTATTTCTTTTCTCTTTAAAATAATCATAATTATGTTTTAATAAGTTATTCGTTTTTTCATTCCACTTAAAATGTGCTCTTGGTTTTTTAACAGTAACCTATCAAATAGACAAACCTTTTTTGGAAGAGATTTATTAATCTTTCTATTTCTTTTGTTTTCTTTCCCTTAAGTAGTGTTACTGTATCGCTTGAATGAGCTTCACTATTGGAGTTAGTAGATAATATTTGGTTCAAATATTGTGGCTGAATCTTGTTTCAATTTAATCCGATCCAACNCCTGAGAGGTTATTTCTTTAATTATCTATTTTTTTTTTATTAATTATCTGTTTAATTCTCGAAAGAGTTACTACTTAATTCTCGAAAGGGAGTTTATTTAGTTATCGTTATACTTTAATTAACACGTGGGAACTTAGAAATGTTGTATGTTCAGAAAATGTATTTCAGTCACTTACCCTTTCATTACTTACGTAATCCAGTGGCTGGCTATACAGGGTGGCATTAAAGTTGGAGAAACAAAAGGAAACACAAAACTTCCAGGAAGGGTTTTATTAACAATAAACAAAACAAACAAACAAAATAACAACGCAGCAGCTCGGCGACATTATTAATTTATTTATTCAAACGCGACAGCGTACCAAGATTCAGGGAATGCGCGCTTTATACAAAATTTGGAAAAACTATCAAAATTAATTAATTAGCCCGAGACTCTAAAGTTAATAATTAGTCTGGTCGATGTGACACCTAAGGACGAACTGCCTTTTTCGAGGTCTCTCCTGAATTCCACACTTTGCTTCACCACGCCCATTTCTTGGGTCTAAAAGTTTCGGTTCTTATCTTATTGGCGAGAACCCTGAATGTCGGCATGCTTTAATAATTATTTAATTGACTGAATTTACATTTTTATAAGAATTCTGACTTACTAGTAACCCTAGCCTTCCCCTATTGACTCCGCGTAGCAATTACGGGACGGATTAGTCGATCTCATTTAATCTACTCTTATAGCTAGGAAAAATCCGTCAAAAAAACCCAGCTGCTTAGGTATACTCTCTTTTCGAATTACTATCAATTTTACAATATAATTTAATTCTAATGTGGAATCTCTACGCTCTTTCTCGCGGTTTCGCGCGTTATTAAAAAGATGGGGTTCTACGCGGCGCCTCCCAGACGCTTAACACATGGCCTCTACAGTCTAAGTGACCTTGTTAAAATATTGACAATTTTCTCCGAAGGACTGTCTTGGCGACCTACTACTTGAAAACCATTAACCCTCCTATAATTTGTGTCGACTGAAATATCTTACTTTTTGACCCATCCTTCCGAGAACTAATAAATAACTGACTGCGCAACCCGGCTTTTGTTACAATACCACTGGTTTCTCATTTCTCCAGGAGTTTTAAATTTTTGCCAAGTTCACTTAAAATTATTCTATTTTTAAAATAGTGCAAGTTATGTACACATACATGTTAAACACACAATTTTTATGTGGTCAACACAAAGAAATCGCTAATATATAGAGGAGTTGTACTTAAGATGACACAGTCAGATAAGATGACACACCAATCATATTGGTTTAAATATACGCGCTAATGGTGATCCTGTGACGTTTCGGAGAGTAACTGTAGATGTCGCTGGTATTGAAGTTCAGTATGGCAGAAACCGAGCGCAGGTTGGAATCTAGTCCATTTTCATTTGAAAAAAGTTTTGATTGCTCTTTTGTTTGGTGGTGAAAATATGCGTAAGGTAAGGATTTTCTGGTTAAACTAATTTGGAATGTATAATAGGATTATTTGATACAAATATTGATAAAGGCGTATTCTAACCTCAAAGTTTTTGTCATGACAATTAAAATGAAACTTGCATATCCATTGGATAAGATGACGTAAAAGACGTGGGTGTAAGATGGCATACTATGTCATCTTGCCTTTATGAAATGAAAAATGTAGTTATTTTTTGTTTTATTATAGGATGCCTGGTAATTACAAACGAACATCGACGCGGAAAAGTTGGTCACAAGAAGACATGGATAAGGCTATTGAAGCTGTAAAAGATCATAGAATGGGTTGGCTTTTGGCATCTAAACATTTCAACGTACCAAGCAACCCTTCGTCATTATTATTATAGTACTCCAGTAAATCTTGGTCGGTTTAAACCAACGTTCAACAAAGATATGGAAAAAGCATTCGTTGATCATATTCTCGAGTTCGAAAATCGACTTTTTGGATTTAACACGACCGAAATAAGAAAACTAGCATTTGAATTAGCGGCAAGATTGGGGCCGAGTCACAGATTTGATAAGAATGAGAAAATAGCGGGCTGGGATTGGCTGAAAGGATTTAGAGAACGCAACCCTAATATTTCAGTCAGAGCTCCAGAGGCAACGTCAGCTGCAAGAGGTAGGGCATTCAATAAGCATCAAGTAACAAAGTTTTTTTCTCTTTTGGAAAAATAAGTGACTGATAACGAAATCCAGCCACATAGAATTTACAATGTGGACGAGTCTGGACTTGACACAACTCAAAAGCCCCCGAAAGTTTTTGCTTCCAAAGGCAAAAAACAAGTCGGCGCTGTCACTAGTGCTGAACGCGGTGAACATTTCACAGTTGTTGCCTATGCTAATGCCATCGGAAATTTTGTGCCACCTGCACTAATTATTCCAAGAAAAAAATCACAAGGCCGAATACTTTGANTTCTAATGTGGAATCTCTACGCTCTTTCTCGCGGTTTCGCGCGTTATTAAAAAGATGGGGTTCTACGCGGCGCCTCCCAGACGCTTAACACATGGCCTCTACAGTCTAAGTGACCTTGTTAAAATATTGACAATTTTCTCCGAAGGACTGTCTTGGCGACCTACTACTTGAAAACCATTAACCCTCCTATAATTTGTGTCGACTGAAATATCTTACTTTTTGACCCATCCTTCCGAGAACTAATAAATAACTGACTGCGCAACCCGGCTTTTGTTACAATACCACTGGTTTCTCATTTCTCCAGGAGTTTTAAATTTTTGCCAAGTTCACTTAAAATTATTCTATTTTTAAAATAGTGTGCAAGTTATGTACATATAATATATAGAAGAGTTGTGCTTAAGATGACACAGTCAGATAAGATTACACACCAATCATATTGGTTTAAATATACACGCTAATGGTGATCCTGTGACTTTTCGGAGAGTAACTGTAGATGTCGCTGGTATTGAAGTTCAGTATGGCAGAAACCGAGCGCAGGTTGGAATGTAGTCCATGTTTTCATGATTTTGATTTGAAAAAAGTTTTGTTTGCTCTTTTGTTTGGAGGTGGAAATATGCGTAAGGTAAGGATTTTCTGGTTAAACTAATTTGGAATGTATAATAGGATTATTATGTGATACAAATATCGATAAATGCGTATTCTAACCTCAAAGTTTTTGTCATGACAATTAAAATGAAACTTGCACATCCATTGGGTAAGATGACGTACAAGACGTGGGTGTAAGATGGCATACTATGTCATCTTACCTTTATGAAATGAAAAATGTACAGTTATTTTTTGATTTATTATAGTATGCCTGGTAATTACAAACGAACATCGACGCGAAAAAGTTGGTCACAAGAAGACATGGATAAGGCTATTGAAGCTGTAAAAGATCATAGAACGGGTTGGCTTTTAGCATCTAAACATTTCAACGTACCAAGCAACCTTTCGTCATTATTATTATAGTACTCCAGTAAATCTTGGTTGGTTTAAATCAACGTTCAACAAAGATATGGAAAAAGCACTCGTGGATCATATTCTCGAGTTCGAAAATCGACTTTTTGGATTTAACACGACCGAAATAAGAAAACTAGCATTTGAATTTGTGGAAAGATTGGGGCTGAGTCACAGATTTGATTAAGAATGAGAAAATAGCGGGCTGGGATTGGCTGAAAGAATTTAGAGAACCCAACCCTAATATTTCACTCAGAGCTCCAGAGGCAACGTCAGCTGCAAGAGCTAGGGCATTCAATAAGCATCAAGTAACAAAGTGTTTTTCTCTTTTGGAAAAACAAGTGACTGATAACGAGATCCAGCCACATAGAATTTACAATGTAGACGAGTCTGGACTTGACACAGCTCAAAAGCCCCCAAAAGTTTTTGCTTCCAAAGGCAAAAAACAAGTCGGCGCTGTCACTAGTGCTGAACGCAGTGAATATTTCACAGTTGTTGCCTATGCTAATGCCATCGGAAATTATTCCAAGAAAAAAATCACAAGGCCGAATACTTTGACGGTGCTCCTTCCGGCACTTTAGAGCTGTGCTACCCCACTGGGTATATGGTCGGCGACTTATTCTTGAAGTGGTTGCGTCATTTTGTAGCCTTTGTGAATGCTTCTGTAACAAATAAGGTCCTGCTAATCCTTGATGGTCATTCCAGCCACAAAAATATAGAAGCACTGGAATTTGCCAAAGCCAACGGTGTGATAATGCTCTGTCTGCCACCACATTGCACTCGCCGAATGCAGCCAACTGATGTAGCATTTTTTGGTCCACTTCAGGCGTATTATGATCGCGAGATGGCAACCTGGATGAAGAGCCATCCTAGCAGAACCGTAGGCCTATACCAAGTTGCTCAAATTTTTGGAAAAGCCTACGAAACTGCAGCATCTGTCAAGAATATAACAAGTGGGTTTGAGAAAACTGGGATTTATCCCTTTAATCCACACATTTTCTCAGAAGATATGTATTTGCCTAGCGAAGTTACAGAAAACGAATTGAATAACAATGATGAGCCGGTTGCCAGTAATTCATCTCAGCCTCAGCTAAATCACGAAGAGTCCGATTCCTCCTACTGACGCTGAAGAACAGCTGATGGACTTCACAGCTACCATCTCTCAGGAGCAAATAGATTTTCAAGCCACTTCTGGAGACGTCGAAAGTCGTCACTCATCCCCCACAATTTTGTCACCGAATGTTGCTACCCATTTATTACAAGATCATGGTGATAATATTTCATCTCGGTCCAAGCCTATGCTTCTAGAGTCTGATTTTAAGCAACCTAATAATGCAGGCGACCAAATAGATGTCATCATTGCATATGTAACGTTGATTGTTCTAAAACTAAAATAATTTTGTTAACTATGATTCATTTAAGAATATACGCAAGATCCTGATCTCACATGACAATTTATTTCAAATATTTGTCTCAAAAGAAAAAGTATGTCAACTTGAGCACAATTCCCCTAATTCAAATTATATAATAAAATTGTTTAATATAATAGGTAATTGAAATGTTAGGTTATCATTATCTAGCATACGTCAATTCAACCACTTTTGTTAGTTCAAATCCAGTGGCCAACAAACAAATATGTTTCAGCAAATATGGCTACACTTTTAGATCCCAGGTTTAAGCAATACGGATTTAGGGAAAAAGATGGCAATATTTAAAAAAATAACAAAGAAAGTATCATTACAAAATGTATACGTATAGAAGAAGAGGGACAAGTGCAACTCCCAAGTAACGTAATTAATAATAAACCAAACGCTCAAGAAAATACGGCATCTACTAGTACTGCCACTTCATCAATATTATGATTTTGATTATACCGTACAAAGTGTTGTGGAACCTACGAATCCCAGATCTTCAAGTATTATAGAAGTAGATAATGTGTTTGGTGGAACTAAAATAAATATTTTTTCGCGATTGTTCGAACTAATGAAGAAACGTCTTTGCATACAAGCTACGTATGTACCTTGTGAAAGGATATTAGAGATTTTAAGTTGTGAACGTAGTGAAGAAATACCAAAGAAAAAACAGACTAAATGAAGGAAAGTAAGTACTACTGTAATTGGTGTACCTTTTAACAATTTTGCAAGGCATGCCAAATACTCAAAATCTAAAAAAGATTGTAATACTGACCACATTTTTCTTTAAATTATTTGTTCTTTGTCATGTTCTATAAATTTATAGATCTGGAATCGAAGAAGTTGTGACTGAATTAGATGACTTAATACAACAAATTGTAGACTTAATAAAAACATTTAAAAATGTTAAAAGTATATGTAATATACAACAAAAGCCTACAAACTCGGAAAAATCATCTTTTCAAAAAGGGTTTGATTGTAGAGAAGCTTATGTTGCAGATAAAGAATATGTGGCGATAGGTAAGATCTAGTTTATATTACACTAGACTCTAGAGTAGATACTAGACACTACACAAATAGTGTGTAAAATACATATATCTGCTTTTTGCATTCTTTATATTTCATTCAAAATAAAATACCCAACCTGCGCAGTAAAATGTAAAGAGCATTTATAACTCCAAAAGGAAAAACAATATCGTAAATAAACGGTGGATTATAGAAACTTTACTGCTTATCCCGAGAACAGATATTGGGATAAAGAAACTTTATTGCTTACCTGAGATGGTAATATGCTCTCGAGTGGTTATTTCATCCGGAATACCAAGTGCCCTTGCTAATCGAGGAATGTGCCTCTTTTGAAATCTAAAATAATTCTGGGCCTCGATTTCCAATACATTTTCGAACAAAAAACGATCATAAACTTCCGCTCTTTGGCTTAAATTATCGTTCTCCATGTGAAGTAGAAACAAATCATCTACATATACTATCATCATCAGAATTTAACAACGCAATATCTAATATATCATCATTATTATTGTTATTAAGGAAAACCATAGAAAAACACACAAACTTCAATTTTCAAACAAAATATTTCGCTGGACACATTTTTGTTTTGGTTCACGTTTGTCAAATAATAAATAATAATACCCATAGAGTAAAGTAATAATCATCGTTTCTGAAATTCTGAATAATATTCCCAGATAATCTACCCTACTTAAACTAATTTTTGAAAGACGAATCTTACCATACGTAAACGTGAAAATTACACGTTTTACGTTTTACGTATCATGATAATTCACAATCTACTTAACCTGTCTATTATCTAAACATAAACAGGTAGTAACTGAACGCAGAAGTCGATTAACAGAGTGGCAAAAATAATGTCTCTCAATGTCAATCTCTAACTTCATTTTACTGTTATGTCTTATTATTTTGTTGTACTTTTTTTGAGTTTATAGTTAATTTATTTTGAAATAGAATTTTTATTATGCGAAACATATTTAAAATATTTTTAAATAAAGCGCTAAGATTTTGCTTTAAACCTCGATTTATTTTAAATATCGAACAAGTAGTACTAAAAAAAACGAGCTATCAATTTGAATTTGTGGTAGGTACCACAAACAAACAGGGACAAATGCTTTGTACGCGGAGCGCATATGGCTCCATCTGTCGTGCTGGGACAAATATTGGCAAACAATTTAATTGTTGCGACGATAAAGCATACAAATACAAATAGCCCAGTTATTATAGACATTAAAGAGCCTGTTTCGGGAAAAAATACTATTAGAAGTTTCTCTGCGGAATATTGTTCGGAAACCTGTTATAAATCAAATATCAAAAAATCAACTCGAGGCTAGTTGGGAAACTTTGTTTTAATAGTGGTCAGAGTTATGGATAAGTGGTTTTTTGACTCAAGTGAAAAAGCTATTATTCATAGCGAAAAAAAGTTTATACAAAAAAGGTAGGTATTAAATAAGCCTATAAAATGAAAAAAGTCCGATTAAATTCCGATAATTTGTTTATGCACAAGAGCTCAAAAATGGCCGAAAATTGCCGTTTTTTTCAATTGCTAATAATTAATGCAATTTTCATCGCAGACACTTGTAATTCAGGATTTTTGAGGCTTTTTACACCCTTAATAAGTGGTAAAAATTTCAGCTCGAAAGCTTCATTGGTTTGGCGTTGGCGGAATTTGTTATCTAAGAAGATGCTATTTTCAATTCATTTTTCCCAAGCTCACAGGCGTTGTAGGGTTTTGATCATTAGTTGTTTTTGTACCTAAATAGTTGTATTGACATAGGCATTTACTGAGAATTTAGTTTTTCAAATTTAATTTGTTTAAAATTGACTGAAAAAATGTTAATATTTATTAAATTGTTAAGATAGGTAATTATTATAAAATAAAATAGTAACCTCTTTACTTTAGTTTTCTTCGAATTTAAAAAAAAAATCGTTGTTGTAAGTTGATTAGAAGCTGAGATAATTTTTTTTATTTATTTAATCGCAGTGACCTTAATTATTAATATTAAGAGCCGAAATTTGGAGAGAGTATACATTAAGAGCTATATTTTCATGTCCTACATTAACATTAAGGTGAATTCAACTATTTAATTTCGAAAAAGAAGATAGCGGCGATGCGTTCTATTACTTGGTCTAGCGAACGAGTGGGGAAGGCGAGGCTTAGCATGCGCGCTTAACGATGTAATAAATATTAACATTTTTTCAGTCATTTTTAAACAAATTAAATTTGAAAAATTAAATTATCAGTAAATGCATATGTCAATACAACTATTTAGGTACAAAAACAACTAATGATCGAAACCCTACAACGCCTGTGAGCTTGGGAAAAATGAATTGAAAATAGCATCTTCTTAGATAACAAATTCCGCCAACGCCAAGCTAATGAAGTTTTTGGGCTGAAATTTTTACCACTTATTAAGGGTGCAAAAAGCTTCAAAAATCCTGAATTACAAGTGTCTGCGATGAAAATTGCATTAATTATTAGCAATTGAAAAAAGCGGACAATTTCGACCATTTTTGAGCTCTTGCGCATAAACAAATTATCGGAATTTAATCGGACTTGTCTTATTTTACAGATTTATTTAATACCTACCTTTTTTGTATAAACCTTTTTTTCTCTAGGAATAACAGTTTTTTTACGCCAGTCGAAAAACTACTTTTTCATAATTTTGACCATTGTTTTAACAAATTTTCCCAACTAGTCTCGAGTTGATTTTTTGATATTTTGTTTATAACACGTTTCTGAACAATATTCCGCAGAAAAACTTCTAATAGTATTTTTTTCCCGAAAAAAAGCTATAATGATTGGCCTAAAAGGCAAACCGTTCGCCACCCCTTTTCCCTGTTGATTGCGGCCATTGTTGCCCACACTCTTTACGCTTTATCAGTATCAAACTACTTGCAAATCACTAAATATCAGTGATCATGAGCACAGTTACACGCCGGCGCCGGTCCAAATCTCAAAACGAATCTAACTGACATCTGACTCTCGGCCCTGGGGGTCTATTCTCGAATCTCTACTAACAATGTCGACTATGACAAATGTCGTAGACACTATTCATACCATTCGACAATTCTGACGCATGATTAAATTTGTCAACACTAGATAACGACTCTACATTATCGATGAAGCAACTTTTTTACAGCTTTCTGCGTTTTGTTCTCTGTTCCCTGGTTTCATTTTTTTACAATTTTTAATTATAGTTATGGTTTCTATTTCACCCAAAATTTGTTAGCTGCTAATGGAGATAAAAAAGAATTACTGTAGTTAAAGCCAAACAAACGTGCTTATTGAACTATTACGGCAGGAACAACAGCTCGTCTCTGGTAAATTTACTGAAAAATTTTCCAGTGCCCAAAAAAGATGGCAGCATATTGCCAATATACTGAATGCAATTCCAGGGGCCTCAAAAGACTGGAAACAGTGGAGAAGGTGGGTTCATAAACCCTGTTCAAACTTTGTTCTATAACGGACAATCCTAGTAGATTTGCATGTAAACCTAAAAAATACATATGCCCTTTGTTTAAGATCTGGTAAGACATCAGAAGTAAAGTGTAGAGCAAACAAGCTTATACAAGCAAATATCAAACGTGTACTGGGGGAGGACCTCCACCTCCACCAGCAGATGTACTCTTCGAAAATGACGAAAAAAATCTAAGTGTTCTCTCTCGGTACATAGTTGTAGGGAGT